GTATTTCATGCCTTAAATCATTATTGTGTTCAGAACGAAGTGAATTGTTAAGATACACTAACGACGTTATCCTATGGAGCCTATACTTGATTTTACAATTGGAGAATACAAATGAGTTATCTGAACACATTGAGTCGATAAATTGTCGTATTAAAACTCTTCAAAACTACAGATTATTGAATTCATACGAAAAGAAAAGAAGTTGGACGACAATAATTCGAAGTGATGAAAAATGGTTAATTCGTATATGAATGATCCTTTCAGTAATATAAATACGAGCGTGGCTGAAGGAGCAGTTAAAAGGGAATCGGTTTTCTATCGTGAATCCCTCACACGACACAGTTACTCAGTAGGCAACCAATGGGTGGTAAAATAAATACCTCACTTCAATAGAACTGGGTCAGTTGGTTTGTTGGAACATAGGCACATAGGTTAGTGTATGGTGATTGACCCTGAACAGTTGATCAGCTTTGAGAAAAGCTCAGCCATGATCACTTTCTTGGTAACTATCTCACAAAATTCAGTAGGAGTCTCAATAAGACCTGCAGTCATATAAAAACCGAACGGTGATGGCAAACTTATATAGACTCAAAATCCCTCCCCCATTATCTATTTAAACATGACCTGGAAAACATTCGCACCTGTCATTCTGCATGACTAATACAATTTATTGCAAAAATATTCATTCAGACATCTATAAAACATAAAATAATCGAGCAAAGAATATTCTTTTCGATAAATTCCTCTTCCAGCCTCTACAATTATATATATATGTTTATATGTACAGAATATTTTAAATTAGAAGTTACACATATACATACATATTAGTTATAAATATCACAAAATACAATAAATAAAGCATATGAAGTGGATAGTGTTTAACTGTAAGAAATGGATTGGTATCTGTGAAACAGAGTTTCAGTGCATTAAATGAGTTAAACTACGACAGCACAGATCAGCACTGATAATGAAGTAGCATCTGTGAACTCGAACTACTAACCAGTCGTGAGTAGTATAGAGTTGAAAACAGAAGAAAGGATAGGAAAGCACAGATGATAATAACAGTAATTTTATTCCAAACTGTCCTGTTGAATAAAAATGCAGTTCTCATTATGCTAGAGAACACTGCATTTACTTTTCTAATTGCGGGAGCAATAATTAAATTGCACCTTTCTCGGCAGCATGCAGTCTTCTATAGTTAAATCTAGTTCTACTCGATAAGATTCAAGGAACGAGTTGTATATGGAAAGGATTCTCAGAGTCTGACATGATAATACTTGCTAAATGCTTGCAGGAATCCAAGCGTTTACCTTCAGTAGTATTGACGAGTTCGATTAGCTACACTCCACTTGTCCTACTGACGTCTTTCAGTGCCCGACGCAGGATAACAAAGTCTTTGTTAAGTATCCTTCGAAGGATTCATTTGTGAGGAGCAGTAAAGAAGTTTAGGCAGAATGCAATAATTAACAAATGGTACCAGTAGAGAAGGAATGATACCAAATCGTCTTAGCTTCCTCACACAGAACGTCCAAAGATACATACATTTCTACCAATTAGCATGATGTGGGAAGACCAGGAAAGTTGATCAGAGGAAGTGCAAAGTCCAAAGTATTAACCATTCGATTTGATTGCAACTCCAGCACTATCTACGATAGCGGAACCTTGCCAATCAACCCATTCACGTGAGTTGTGCCTACATCTGGGAGTTCAGATAAGCACCTGACATTTGGATTGAGGGATCAAGCTTAATACAGTTTGATAAGGACCCCTGACAAATGTGTGATAAAAAATTATTCATTTTGCAACAGTCTCACTCAGGAATAACCAACACCATGAAAACAGACAGTTTACCGGCTAACCCAACAAAATCAGACTCGTGAGAATCGGAGGCAAATCTTGTAAGAAGAAGAAAGATAAGAAAATAGAAAGAACAGCTCCATGAGGAATACCAGTTAGAGTAAGTGAAGCAGTGGAGATCTTCCTATTGTAAACAGTGTAATGCTTCCTATCAGAAAAACAAGAATGCAACCACTTGATAATCCAGCACTGTGTACCTGACGCAGCCAGCTTGTTTAACAAAAGAGGCCGGTGTACAGCAGTTTCGAAGGCAGACGTGTAATCGAGGAAGGAACACCGAACATATTTGGCATCTCTGTCTAAACTAGAGAAAAAATTTTAATGTAAGAGGACATTGACATCTCAGGTACACCTACTATGTTTATTAGTAAATTGATAAGGGTCATTAAAAGGTCCAAGGATGAAAAGGTGAAGAAGTAGCAATAGATCTGCACTTAACAGTTGGCACACTTGATGATTTATGCGCAACAACAGTTTCAGTGTCCTTCCAAGAAGCAGGCACAGCGTTACTTGAAAAAATTGATTCATTGAAAATACCAGTGACAGGATGACATGAAATGTCAGCACATTCATTGAGAATAATAGCTGGTACATCATCTGGACCAAAGGACTGAGTAGGTTTTAGGGATTCGAGACACTCGAAGGCATAAGTTGAGTCAGAACCAGGGAAGCGATCACAACATCAGCTGGACGACAGATGAAGGAATTATTAAGAGTACCAGGTACAACTGAAGAAGTATCATTATTTACGTGGTTACCACCGGTGATTTTCTCAACTGGCTGAGACGTATTTCATGAGGTTTAGAATGATGAGAACTTTTCGTGATAAATCGTATTCAATCTCTGTATTTCTCATTGAACTAGGATGTTCAGACTAATAACAAGAGAATTAATTTTCATTTTGCATGACCTTTCTTTTTCTCGGCACGGCTTTTTGAACTGAGAAGGCAGAAGCGGTCAACTCTTGGGAAGTGTGTCTCTCTTGGACAACAAACTTCAAGAGAGAAGTTGAGATGACATGTCACGGTTGTGGTTGTGTCGTCTAGAATATTTTCAGTAAATAAGTCGCAATTTGTAACATTTGACACGTTTCCTAGATTCTGTATATTGTCATACGAGTACCATCTATGTTGAAGCAAACTGAACATGAGGAATCAGATGCTTTGTTATTATGGATGGATTTTCAGCAGCTGAAGATTGAAGCGAGGCAGGAAGAAACGCCGACAAGTCTCTTCGATTTTTGCTGTCAGTTGATGTTTGTGGATAATTTAAGTAACCTGAGTATTTGAACTGATCGACTCTATGAGGAGCGTTTTGAGATGGTTTCGTCAGCAGCTTATAATTGCCTTTCGTTGTTAAAGATGTATACAGCTCGTACAATAGATTTTGCTGTAATTTGGTTAGTTCATTACCCAGTGTAGTGTATGCACCTGGTGCAGAAGCCTGTGATTAATTCTCCGTTCTCACTTGACTCACCAACGGCCACTTGACTCATGATAATTTCTCTTCCTGTGTTGTCTGCTTCTAGTTTGTACATTCAGATCACCCATTAGGATTTTTATTTCGCCATTGCTATTTGTAGTTGTCTGTAGAAGTCTTCCCTCTTCCTATGATCAGTGTTGTTTTTAGAAGCCTAGTGGTGGATAACCGTAACTTTTCACCTTCCAATGAGCTTACTGGAAATGCTTTTCGTGACACGCCAAGTCTCTGAACCATATAAAAGAACTGACTTGACATTAGATTCCATGCTAATCCGAATCTTATACTTTGCGCTGACTAATTTCAGAATGATGAATGTCTGATTCACCTTTCTCGTCCTGCTTTTGACACCTTCACCCTTGAGCATGCAGCCGAAATGATGCTACCAAGATAAGTGAGAGTATTCGCCTCCTTTATACTTTTCTCTCGTTGATAGTGGTTGGTGACTGTTTCCAGTAATATGATTTTAAGGCATAGTAAGAAAATACCGATAACACATATTTCCTGTAATAGTCTTCTGCAATTATCCATTTGAAAACGCTTGTTATATATACAGGATTCCACACTCCCAAGTCTTTCTCTTGGAAAGCGAACTCGCGGTATCAGTGATAGGCTTCGGATGCGGTTATGTTTCTAGTTAGTACAAGCCACAGAATATCCTTCCTAAGAGTTACCTTATTTCAGTATTCATCAGTATTTCAAATCTCGTTTCTGTGCTTCAGTATTCATCTTCTTGTTGTATTTCATTGAGACTCCAATCAACTTGTCGCATTTGCGTTTTTCTGTATACTACCGACTGACCTCAATGACTGTTTGCATGCCACTCATTCCAAACAGTAATTTATGCTAGTCAGATAGAAATGACCTAAACACTGGTCGACCGTTTCACTGGTTTCGGTCCGAGATCATCGTCAGTGTACCCGGTTTGATTCAGTTCAGACAGTCGAATAAGTTGAAACCACCAGATTTCTCGCTAGCTACATGAGTGGACAGGTAAACTGAAAATAGTGAATTGATTTGTGAATCATGAATTTGAACACATCCAACATTCGGGGCGAGATTACAGCGCCCATCTAGTTGATAGTTGTTGGACGTAACGAAGACACTCAGTCAATGTGACTCAACTTTTTGATAGTAATCACACTCTCTATTGGCGTATAGGAGATACTGAAATAGTCAGAAGGTATAACCTAAACTGCAGGAACAATAAAATGTGAGTGCAGCTACTACCAAGTCATTGGTCGATAAAGAACAAACTGGTCAGTCTATGCACATTTACACACATCACATTTCCCAAAATTTCCTCTACAACCGCTTTTCTTCTTACTGAATCAAAACCTGAACGCATTTTATCTACTTCTCACACTTCCTAGTATTACTCAATCCTATCAGCGAATCACGATGACTATTTCACGCTTATTATGATTATTTGTAAGGTTGTATTTTATCGGAAAACGATTCCTGGAGAGGTCTTCCCGAAAAATAATTTATATGACCACATATTTCCTCCCTGTGTGCTCATCCGATTTCGACTGCTTTCTAGAGGTACGTGTGATCCTTAGTTTGAAGAACAAGAAGAAGCTCTGGATAAACTAAGAGAAATCATTTTTTATTGAATCATACTAAATCTAACTACTTATTTACTTTTCAATAAATAAAAATAACTAGCACCAACTACTCCACACTGCATACTCCACGACGACCAATTCATTTTAGTGGAGCTGGCCCTGAACTCTTAAGCAAAAGATAAAATGAAAAGAAAACATGTTATCTTGATATGAATTCACTAAAGGGAATGTAGTCAGTAAATCTGTCAGCGTTTGGTTTTGGATAATCCTCTGAATGTTTACAGAAATGTTTCGTGTTTTCTGGCAAATATACTTCGGTCTGTTTTTAAGAAACACGGGTGGATTAGAATCCAGCCGTAAGTTATCAGTTGCAAGTAAAGTCGACTACAGGTGATACTGTCAATCTATTCTTACCTGTATATTCTTCAGAATACCTTTCAAAATTGATATCAGACCTGAATAACAAGAACAGTAGTGTTGTTGATGCAATGTGGCTTGAAATGAAAGTATATCTGTGAAGGTTTCTAAATGGCAAAGTGAAATTGAGAGTATAAAACTGGATGCTGCACCTCTCATCATTTCGATTTGCATTTGAAAATATGAATTCCCGACATTGAAGTTAACAGTAAATTCACTATACTCACTGGTATATTTCAGTTTAACTGCTTTTTCAGCAAACGTTTTAGAAATCAGATCAATGTAAAGTTTAACGTCTGGAGAAAGCAAGAGAAGGGAGAGTCAAAACTAATTTATGTTTGGTCGAAAGGAAATGGTGAAATGAAACTATGTGATAGGGGAGTTTACAAGTGTTGAATAACAACAGACGAGTGTCAGCTTCATTCTCTTGAATTTTCTAGTATACTTGACGTTCTGCAGGAATGTATGATTTCTGTTGGACATTCCCAGTGTAAAGAAGGTTGGAGGAGCTTAATCAAGATTGATGGTCAGTGTGAATGCGTTCATTTGTCTGTAGGCGAATACTGGGGACATCGCAATGATGCATTTATGTCGTTTCTTATTGTTCCCTTTGGCGATATGTATTGCATATATATATGCATATATTGTATACGAAATGAATTATGATATTTTTATAGAGTCTACTCAAATTAATTTATCAGTACTCACGTCCTTTGTAAAAATCAACTTACTTTCGTCTATAAGTGAATATTGAATCAGAATTAAAGTAAGTCTGTTTTCATAAATGAGACTACTCAATGAATGTATGTGAGTAATATGAATATGAATAATAACATTACATTAGTATATACATGGCAGAGAATGACATTGAAATACCTTGAATTTCAGCCTGAGATAGAAAAGCAGTGCAACCTTTATTTTTTGGACCGAATTGCGTAGCTATTCATTGTACATGAGAAATAAATATGTCAATACGGATATAGTTAGTGGCGGAAATATACAAATATGTCTACATTAATGTACATTCATTTTATAAATATTTTGCTATATTAACTAACCTCTAACAAAATCTAAATTTTGTAGTCACCATGATGCAGAGAAATGACAAAAACAGTAATTTTAAAAATCTCATCATTTTTTATATAGGATATTTAAGTGTTAATGGAACTTATCACGTTGATGTGGTTGAATAAAGAAGTGTTTATTGAATGCATTGGTTGAATATTGAAGTTAGAACCAAAAGAAACCTGAATCTTATTGATCACTCGAATAATGACAGCTGTCCAACTAACTAGATCATGACGAACTGAGAGTGAGACGCAGATGGTTAATTGTCAAAGATCCACTGGACCATTTCTCAGTGGCTAACTGATCTGTCGGCTCGCCTTGCACCCAGAACGTTCTGGCCTCAAACCCTATTGCGTATGCACTGCTGAAAACTCCAACACTTTCTGTCCAGTAATATCAGGTTTTCTAATGGTTCTCTAACTGATGTCAACTCGTACTCAAATATGTGAATAATCTAAAAAGCCGATAATAATGATGGCAACAATATCGCGGATCAAAAGTTATTTAAAAAGCCTGCAGACAGTTGCAAAAAGCAAATTTTCTTATGTAGAAGTTTTCAAAATACCTTTATACTTATTGAGAATCTGTTCGGTCCGAAATATGCTGTCCTCGATATCCAAAGCAAAACCTCCTGAAGAAAAGTTCAATTTGAATGGATGTACACTTCTATACAAAATTCTACTATTCAGTGACAAATGCATAAGTCTGATGAATGGTCGAAAGTTGGTTTCTCTGGTATTCACTGAGAGATTTCGACATAGTGGTACACTTGAACTCCGATTCCTCTTCTGATTTAATCTGCTGGGTAGTGACTGTTAAGGGGAATGGAACTGAATTGTGTGTCATACTGAAATACCGAAAGATAGTTGATCAGTGATGTAATTAATTTATCTCATTTGAAAGCCAAGCAGCAAAGTGATGTGCTTTAGATGATTGCAGGCAACCAGCCGGAGGCTTCTGATACAAATTTGGCGCTAGCTGGCAATGAAAAGCCAGCATGACGTAACTGGAATCTTGAAGGAACTCATGTCCATCTGAGAATGGAAATTGGTTCAACCAGTTCTGAAGTCAGAGACATTATCAGTAAGCTATTCAGGCTCGTGATACAACTCCTGCATAACTGTATTCTACACAGAGTGGTATTGACGAGTGCCAACAAGCACGAAACCTTCAAACACCTAATAACTACAATTCACAGAGCGCCATGATACTGAGTCACTTAGCACAGTGATCACTCTGCAAACTTAACTGACAAAATTCAGTGTGCACTAGACGAAGGATTCGTTGCATGATGCAAGTGACTGTAAAGTGTCCAACTAACGGAAAAAAATCTTTCACTGACTTCGAAATAAATAGGGACAAACAATCTATCGAATTTATCGGTTAAATGACAACACTATGAATATGCACTTGAAAGGGAGTGTGGTCGTTGTTACTTTAAACCGAAGCAAAAATATACTCCAAAATATTGAGACAATTAATATGTGTAAAAGAAATCATACTGTATTTTGCTTTCAATTCATTCAGGCTTGTCAATAAATCTATCGGATTTCATATGCAAGGAATTCAGAATAGATGCATTAACTTGATTGGGATAATAAAAAGTGCGGACAAAATGAATAAACAGAGACAAAAGAAACTAACATGATAATCTCGGAATAGGTGGTTGCAGAAACAATCAACCGAAACTTAAATGAATTCACTAATCACCGATATCGAATGCAAGAATATTCTCGTTCCAAATTCATCCTACACAACTTAAAGCCATATGTGAACTGTTATCATGAGAGTCATCTGAAAGTGAACAGCGACTGTCTGTACTTGGTTAGATTCATAACTGACTACTGGTTCTTACTCATAGTGCGAATGTGTGATCACTAGCCGAACCTGTAAAATGTTCATCTAGATCCGTCGTCTTCATGGGCTGGCCAAAACAACAGCAGTGACTGAGAATAGTCTATACAGGAATTCATTTATTTTAGGACAAATGCTGATGAATTATTTTCGATATCAGTAAACAAAATATATTCAAACTGCACAGACCTTTGAAAACTTCTAGTGCGCTTTGGGCAGCAGTGTAGGTTTCCTGGCATTTCATAACTGAAAAGATGATCAATTCTACTTAGAAAGTATGTCAATTGACTTACATCTCTTGAAACGCCTCCTGTTCTTTATTAACTTGCTCACTATTTTTCCTAAAGTGGAGAAAAGCAGGTGAAAATCAGTTATATGTTTGCATAGCCATAAATATATTGGAAAAGTAAACTAAACAGCTTCATAAACCCTTTCATTATCATATTCCCCTTCATCGAATAAACCATGAAACGACACTTCGACAAAATATTCTCTGAAGAAACTTGTTGTGAACAAGTAGACAAGTGTTCCAATAGTGGTATATTGAAAGGAACACAATAATCGATATAAACTTCTGTGGCTTTCAAAATTCACCAACAAACTACTTCCGTTTTAAACTAGATTCGATTGATACTGACTGACAGTGAAGTGCTGGTTGTATATTTTGTTCTATTTGGCACTAATCAGCAGGATGATGTTCTCACTGACGGCCGAAGTTTGCATTCATCATTTCAAGCTACAAAATATCTCAATGGTTAAATCACCAGAAGACAAGTGAAGTTGCTTTAGACATCGATTGAAATCCAGCATGCTACTGATATCAGTAAGATGTGAGTGCGTCACTCCTCTTATTTAATTCAGTGGATTTCTCAGCACCTAACACCTACTGAATTCCTCACCCATTGATAGCTTGGTTTTCATTATGTCTTTGAAAATTTGCAAGAGAATACATTTTTATTGTAAGACGTAAATTATGACGTGCTCGTTTCACCTTGTGCCTTTGTATCCGATTCGTACTGACTAACTGCATCTTCATTTGTACGAATCGCACCTATAAGACGGTTTGAAGTGGAGAGATGAATTCGAAAATTATAAAATTGCCCATAAACTAAAAAATATCACGTCGTAACTCAGTGTTTATTTCAGGGATTCGCTTCATCAATCGTTTACCAAATATAGAGAAGTCGATACTGGCCGAAGTCTTTCATGGGTTGAGCATAACCTGTCTATAATGCATTGCAACGATAATTGTGTTTTTCTATCAAACAAGAAGGTAACGGTCAATAGAATTCATGAATTCAGGGTAGGAAAAATGATGATGATGGCGGATCTCAGTAGCCCAATGAACAGTAGTCAGATATTTGTGCTCAACACCATACTAGTTATACTAACTGGTAATTTGAATGAAGACTGAATTCCATACCGTGTCTCTAAACAATCACTCAGTAAAGAATAAACAACATCTCTTTGGTTTTCGAGTGATACACATGTCTTGAGCAAGAGATCTTCACTTCATCATAATCTCTGAAGTCATCTCTAAGTGCCTCCATGATCTTCAATGCCTTTTGATAACCTTCTTATAGAATTCACTAATTACTCACATACAATTTGAGGTTCCACTCGATGGTAGGCGTGATACATGATATTAATCTCATAGTACGTTCGATCCATCCGCGTTACTTTCAGCTGCTTTCAAAATCATTCACATGTAGAAGGTCTTCAAAAGCCTCCAGTACATGCTTATGTCAAAGTGAACTCGACAGAATGTAGTGTCTTTAAAACATCATATCTCCGAAGTGTAATCTTAAAATAGAGCTGAAAAACGGACAAACAATCAAACGAATATTCAATTTACAGATAAACGCGTTCATATAAAATGTGGTGAGACTTGCCTTCATAATTCAGGATCAATGTATCCACCTCAACCATTTTATTCCAAAGGGATTTGGCATCTAGAAGTAAGACAATAAAGTGAATTTAATCGAAGCAGATACACTCTCATTTTCGTCACTGTGATATTGAAAAATACAGAAGAGGGCTAACTTTTCATCTTGGTGAGACGTGAATATGTAATTTAGAAGAAGAGAAGAAGAAGCGTACATAGTAAATATTCTGATGAATGCATCTAAGATGTGCATATTGCGTTTGATGGATTGTAAAACTGCCTCAACCACTACCAGTTCTAATTTCATATGATTCAGTCAGTTCACACAATGAAGATTATGGTAATAAATGGAAGCTTTTACATATGCAGATGTCTAGTTGCATTTCACCAGTGTATATAATGGTCAAGGCAGACAATGGAGACAGAAATGACTTACTTGCTGCTTCGCATATACACAGAAAGAAAGCAGTTACAAGTAGGCGAGTATATGTGGTTGCCAACGCCATGATTATTCTGTGTCTCTTCATCAACGGTTGCATTAATATTAGAATTTCCAAAAGTAAAGCTAGGCTTTACTTATATGGCATTGGCAAATTACTACAGATAGAATAAATTTCTGATGTTATGGCGTGCTTTCAACAGTGCCGCCTACTTTCTATCAAATTTCGGTTATCAGCATCTGACGGACTGATACCCCTTGGCTATTGGAATTTATCACCGAGGTCACTGATAAATATTATACCACGCATATACACGTAAACAAAAGATTACAAATATTTTTTCTAATTACAACACTAAATACCTAACGGCGCACTGGTCGGAATTCACGCCTTCAAAGTAAGTGAGAAATGAAACGTATTATTTCATCATCATACACCTTTACAACACACGATGTTAACAATAGAGTGGAATATCGGATGGTGTCTCATTGATTTTCTACATTGTTTCTGAAAATATTATTAGGGCCATCCTCTCTGGAAATTTCATCATTCCTTAACACATTGAAATAAAATTATTTTAATTAAAATACAACATCGGCTTATTTTTCTTGTCTGAATTTTATCTTAAACTAGAATTCACACAGTGAAGGCTTCATTGATAATTTCAAGGTTTCAAAGAACCGAAGTAATGAATGCGTGATATGTGAGCTGTAATGTGAAACATTATTATCTCGCATTACTACACCATTTTGTAAGACGCATCTTGTTATTCTCATAGTTTTGACTCCAAAATATGTGACAGGTTGGTACTTGATGACTTATGTTCTACAGAAACCGGTAGTGTGATGCAAACTGGTCAATATGATTGATTATGGAATCAGAGTATCCGAAATCCAAGTGCAAACATCAGGGTCGTCAGATATTGATATTCAGAAGTATGAGGACGAAACACTCGTCAGATTCTGGTTGTGCCGTTTATATGCCTCACAAAATGAGCCTTATTCAGTGCACACTTATGTGACACACTGCCTGAATCACAACTACTGATAACAATACCCAAATCAAAAAGTGTCACTTATTTAAACATGTGTCGTAGTGAGTGACATATTAAAATATAATAAAATACTAGAATTATTTGGGGAGACGATTTCATGACGTGTCTGGCTAATTTTGCATGAACAAAGAACTCTGAGGATGTGCATGTTACCAGGACGCAGGAGGAACGTAATTTGAGACAATCCATAGATGAACACACTTTCCAGTGTTCATAATGTTCGAGAAGATTGAGTATTCATGATGTTACATGCAGTAACTGACCAAATTTTAGTAGCCGTTATATCTAAGTCCAAAGTACCCGTGTGCATGAAACTATTCATCTGCTAGTGTTCGGCAGATAAAAGTGAATTAAGATCAGTCATCGAACACACAGAAATTTCTTTGATTTCAACTGTAGGGTGGAGTCAGTACAGTCGATATGTAGCTTCCTGGAAAGGGAGTGTGAATGGTGATTCACATAGACGAAACTGTGTTAACCGAAAAAAAATGAAGTGTGGATATCTGATGGAGTAAATAACATGACATTACCGAAGGAAAAGATGTCAGTCAACCTGCTGGTATATACAGGGAAGTTAAAGGAACATACTAGAGTCAGGAATGGAAGCCGGACATTAAACTATTTTTCAAAGTCACCACAAAATAAATGCACACGTTACTCGACATTTCCAAATTAAGATGATGGAAAGCTGAGTATGAGTCAGATATCCAGGTCAAGAGGTATAAAATATAAAATCCTAAACATTGCCCAAACTGAAAGAGTTGAAATGAAATGGTGCGGAAAGGATAACATTTTCTCACCATGGTTGGAAAATATTGATGACCGTTTATCACTGAAACCTTCAATTAAGTGTCCACGGTTTAGGCGCTACGGTTATCGTGATACTTGATAGACTGTAGCTAAATTAGATTGTGTAATTCGTGTCCTACATAAGTCTGTCCCATTAAATCATTCGTGTTTTTAAATTATCACACAGTCCTGCTGAAAGCGTTAAAGAACAGTCGTGCGAGCGAACGACAAATAAAATAACGTCATATCAGTCAGTGAAGTAATAGCAGTCATTGAACACATCGATTCCTTAGTTTCAACTATGTGACTGTATGAGTACTGTCGATAGGTAGCTTCGTGGAAAGTGAATGTGATATCACGTTTTGCAAGATTGTCAATGGTATTCCACATATGTGAAACTGTGTTAACCGAAAACAATGAAGTGTGGAAATCTGATGGAGAATGGCATATGAGCTTTCTGACTATTCGCTACCACGTTCGTTGAAAGGATCCTAAATTGAAGTCGACTAAATTTCTATGCCTAGATTAGTGATGCTGGGAACAACAATACACACAGGTGAAGGGCAGGATACACGCATTTATCATCAATACGTTCTATTGGACAATGAGTAAAGCAGTCTACGCGTATAGACTTATTGAAGGGTTTCAGGGTCTTTTGAAAAGTAGGATAACGATGAAAGACACACCATGTAGTGTTGTCATTTACGATCACGTAGTCAAACCATGGCTATTGAAATTGATAGAGTTGTAGCCTGAAATGTTGAAAAATGCTCCTTGTTTTATGGATATCGTCCACTTCTGATGGACATACAGCCAATCATAAAATGAAAGGCGGTATATTTGACCTTATTTGTAAGCCTCATGCAAAAATACAAGTGACCTGTGTTTCACAAGATACGAAGACATACTTAAAGTGAGCTTTGTGAGAAGAGTTTATGTATGGAAGTTTGGAGCAAATGAGCCAACCAGGAGAATCTCAGTCAACCAACAGACAACCCGAATGTTCAAATATTCCGTCATCAGTTTCGCACATTTCTACTCAGGAAACAGCATTCAAATATCGATTTTATTGTGTTTCCTGACGACTGCATGAAACGTGAATATCATCAAAATCCATAAGATGCTATTCAATTAAGGTTTGCATTACGTTAGCAATCAGGTCTACGAAATTCCAAATCAATTAATCTAACCTTGAAGACTCTAACAGTTGAATAATCACTGAATTCTATCACATGTCGACTGATCACGTAAACTAGGAACTCTGAACCACTGTGTTTGAGGTTATTGGGAATACGTGGAAATTCATTTCGCTGTATATACGGCAAGGAAGACGGCTTGATCGAAGTACAACGCAGAATGACACAGACCTCAACCTCTGGATATATTTTAGATCGATCTTCTGTTGTCAGTTATACGTACGGATCACCAAGCGATTGATTGGTCAGCATGGTTCACGGCCACACTGATATTACACTATCCGAAATGTGCATGATCATTTCATTCGTATTCTCCTCACTCACTCATTCACTACCATTGTTCTGTCTATTTAATTATCTGTCTTTGCTTCTCTCTGTAGGTCCGCCAAATGGAGGCAATCTGAGAAGACTCTGGACTTCTCTATATGGTGAGTCTACATGCACGCATACAGCCTCACTCACTCACTCACACACTCACTTACACTAAATCAATGGCTCGCTGATTGCATTCTCTTCGCTGTAGTGTCAAATCTGAGAATCGGATATCAATGTTCGCATATATTTGTGTTCAGTAACTTTTAGTAATACGACGGACAATTTGTGATGTCGTCATCTTTATAGTGTGTCCCTCTGTTTCGCTTGTTTCGACGATATTCTCTCTGTGTGCGCTGAGTCTTAGATTTCTTCACACAGTTTTCCATTGTATTTGTGCATCAACCATACATCTGTACTGAAAGACTGACGTTCGGTTAACTAAACATTTCTCATTATGCCTGTCTAAACGTCATGCGTATATTTGCCAACCTGTCGACCGGTTAATCTTTGTTATCTTGTGGACATAAATATGTATCTAAGTCAATCAACCAGTGAGACAGTCGCCAGTCTTATTGGTTGTCTTGATATGAGTGAACAGCTATCATCTTATTTCCCTACGTGTGTCACCAACCTTTCGAATATGTCTTTATCATTTTTTGTGTTTCCTCACTTTCAGCTCTGAAGAAACCTTAAGTGTGGACAAGACGTCATCCTCAATACTCAGTGATTGTTTTGTTACTATGGATCATTGAATAAACTTTCCACATTACACACGGCTTCCTTCTCACTGTCACTCTCATCAATACTTGATCGTCTGATAGTCAGGTGGGTTGGTCCTCTGTGAGCCTCCGTCTGTGCAACGCTCTTTTCCGTTCCTATTCAATGTGATTGTACTGTCAACATAATCCAAAGTCTGAAATTAAGAGACCGAACCTAATCAGCTTAATATTAAGTAGGTGAGCATCTTGCCCACCTATGGATGCTTTAGGTATTTCAAGTTGCGTTTTGACATGTACGCATCCGAAAATTCTTCGGAAACCATTTCGCGCTCCTCCCACAACCGGAACCTAACAATGTCGTCATTTCACTCATAATCGTGCATTCAACAAACTACTAGTGCGGTGAATGCTGACAAATAACAAGCATATGTAGTGATCTGAAGAGGTAGTAACTCGTGCTGACCTTCAATTGGAGATCGACGTGGATTCGAATGTAGAGGAGAAGGATTTGTAGCAGAGGGAAGAGGGGATAAGAGCAAGACGTTATGAGTAAG